GGATAACAATCCTAACCCTGTTGGTGTTTTAGCTCTTGGTAATTTATATTTTCCATTTTGTATTTCTTTTTTCTGAAATTTTCGTATATTTTTTATAAAGTCATTATATTGTTTGTCTACATATGAAATGTTAATGTTTTATATCTAAGTCTGCATTAGTTGATTGGAATTAATCCTTATAAGTAATAAGTAAATTTACAAACATGCTTTATTTATATTTTTAAAGTTTCATACCAATTATGCCAAAAAATACAATGACTTGAAACAAGCATTGAACAATACATTTTATTTAACTAATACCATATATTTTCATGTTTAGTTATGTTACACAATTTCTAATATTTTTTTTTTGTAAATATTTTTTTTATTTATCTTTTGCTAGGATATATGGACCATGGAGACCCTACCTCTAAATGCGAATTTTGTGGTGCAAGTTTGTGGAAAGAAGAACGTGCAGTGAAAAGTGATAAATCGAAAAATCCAGCCTTTTCTATTTGTTGTGAAAAGGGTAAGGTTCAGTTACCCTTGCTTCGACAAGCCCCTCCAACTCTTATTAACCTGCTTTCGGGTCGAGATCAAAGAAGTCATAAGTTCCTTGATAATATTCGAGCATACAACAGTATCTTCAGTTTCACATCCATTGGAGGACAAGTCGATAAATCTATTAACAACGGCAATGCTCCTTATGTCTTCAAACTAAAAGGTGCCAACTACCATAAGATTGGAAGTTTGTTACCTGTTACTGGTGGTGCTCCTAAGTTTTCTCAGTTGTACATATACGACACTGAAAACGAAGTAGACAACAGGATGAATGCAATGAGGTACATATTTTGTTTATTTATTGATATCCTTAAATATATATTTTATTATTCTTATTATAATGATTTACTTATGGAAAATTTTTCACTCTTCAACTCCCGGTCAAGAAATAGCCAAAGTAATTTAGAAGCTGGAGTTATCCATGATATAATGAGGATGCTTGATGAAAACAACCCATTGGTGAAGTCATTTAGAATGGTCAAGGAGCGTTTTCAATCAGGTTTTACAGACAATTTGAAACTCAGGCTCATTGGAGGAAGAGAATCTGATGGCAGAACTTACAACCTTCCTACAGCTCATGAAGTTGCAGCTCTCATTGTTGGTGATATTGATGATGCATTTGATAAGAGGGATATCATTATAGAAACACGCTCTGGATACTTGAAAAGAATAAGTGAGCTACACCCGTCGTATCTTCCATTGCAATATCCTCTGTTGTTTCCTTATGGAGAAGATGGTTTCAGAGTTGGAATTGAACACAGTGTTGCTTCTTTGACCACTGCAAACAAAAGA